TTGGAGCAGTTACTCAAGATATTGACATGCGAAAAATGGCCACAGCTTCAGTCGGTTCTCATATGCAGAAAGCATTTATTCAGTGTCACTAACTCGACTAACAAATGAGATGAGTTTAAAGCGGTAATAGCCCATAACCCATTAGCCATGAAGGGAGCCATTGAGAACGGCAATTCGTCCGTCCTACTCACAGTTAATTTTAAAAACGTATTTTCAGTATAAGTAGATGTCGCACGATAAAAGGCCAGCTCCCGCTCCGCGTGAACCTTGCTACTCCATTGTGACTAAAATATGATGATAACCATCGCAGATACAGATAAAACTCGTCCACAATGCTCCAAAGAGGAATAACAATGCATTATGTAGAAGGACGCGACCAAACACAATTCAATTTACTTTAATGAAAAAGTCTACGACTGTCTGAAATATTAAATACCTACTTAAGTTATTCGGTAAAGAGGCTTTGCCCAAGCTAAGGCGAGGTAACATTTAATTATAAAATCCATTCAGGAGATGTTCGGCCTTGTATCACTCAATTTACTTCTGTTTGAGTTTTATAATTATATGTTTCGATCATCTGGCTCAAATCAATTTTCATAGTCGAATTGAATGGACTGTTTCCTAACAAAGACTTATAAATGGTTGACATTAATTGAAATACATATAATTCAAACACTTACTCGAGGTATACTATAGAATAGGTGTAAATAAAAATAAAAATGTAATCTGGGCAAGATCTCATTTTCTGCCTAAAATCCTACATTGTAGCAATTTGAACGTCACCTTTCAACATATTTCCATTCATAAAATGAAACCACACAGATTTCAATCATTGCAATCGTCTCAAAGTGGCATGCTCGTTTTTTACAATTTGCAATATGAAATTCCTCTTCAATCAGCCGACTAAGAAAAATGTAATAGTTTGGGCATATTCGTTAAAGACTGTTTCATAAGGATGTGTTCAGTGCATGTTTTCATTTCAAAATCCCCTTGTATGCATGGCATCATCATCATCATCATCATCATCATCATCATCATCATCATATCGCGAAGCTTGTTGTTGTTACTTTGATAAGGCTGTATATCTCACCCCAGTTTGAGAGTTGCTCGTACAAACGATTGTAGGTACATCCACTTGCATGAATTTATTGATATCACAGATGAATGTATTTCATTATTCTTTCATCGTAATATAGATAAAACACGAAATCATTGTCTATATCACTATCCTACTCCACTTTGAGCGATGGACTTCTAGATTAGATTATTTTTTCATCGTGATATGATAGTTAAATGCATGACCGTGAATGATGTGTGTAGCGGAAATCCTCATTCATATAGAGCAGAAGCATTAGTGGGCCAAAAACTGAACTTTGCGGAACACCGTCGAGTATGCTATTAGTCTCAAAATATTCACTACTCCTGCGCACAATCTGACTTTGTCCTGACAATTACTAGTTGAATAAATCCTCTGAATTCATACTTGCTGAGTTATTTCAAGAGCAGTTCCAGCCAAACACTTTGGTAGATTTGTGTTTATTACTACGATCATACTTTTGATAACTCCTATATATATAATTTTTCATGTCGTGACATTGCTGTTGATATCTTTGGCAATCTTTGCTTCTTATCCTTATTTATATAAAGCTATTTCACTTCCAGTCAGCTGCTTATGATTTATGAGGCATAGATCCGACCTGTCCTGGAATACTGTTTCCATATTTGGAGTGCAGCACCCAAACATACCCTGAAACTGTTGGATTCTGTCCGAAAAAGAGCAATTCGTCTCGTGGGTGATGCCTCGCTCACAAACTCACTCACTTCTCTGAAACACCGTAGAAAAGTTGGCGATCTGGCTCTATTTTATAGATATTATCAAAGACGATTGTTCCTCCCTTGGCAGTCCCCGCGAGATTAACCCGTCGAGTTGAGACTTCGCACCCCTTCGTCGTCACTTTAGAGACCTGCAGAACATCTCTTTCGAAAGACTCGTTCATCCAACGAACAGCGAGGCTCTGGAACACATTGCCAAGGATGATGGTGTTCCCTGAGGCATATAACCTCCAGAAATTCAAGAACACCAATTCCTACCTCATTTCCCTTGGTTCTCACGATGTTCTCTGAACATGACAGGATGTCCCTTTTCGTAGGAACCAGAACATAAAAACAAAAGTAGCCTTTGTTCCTTCCCTATAATCTGTTTCATGCAACATCGGATATCTATATTAGGAATTATATGACTATTTCTTCTGAATATCCTTGGTGGATTCAGCAAACAGGCGTGAAGCCAACGTTCTATACCCTCCTCGATCGATTCTGTCGAAAGCCCGAGGATTGACGTCATCCCGCCCAAAATATGATTAATACAGAGGGGGTGCGTGCCCCCATGCGCGTAACAATAACTCAGGACAGGTGTCGCGCTTTATGTAAATACCCGTCCACCATCTCATTACCGCTTTAAATATTCAAATCTTAAGTAGCACCTTTCAATGAGGAGTTATTGATGACACGTCGGGCCCGGTGTAGGGGCCTTGGGGCGTCCGCAAATTCGCGTAAATCTGCTCGCCGAGCGATGACCGTACATTGGATTTATATGCTGTCGATAATTCAAGTCTAAATTTCCTTCGAGGAGGTGTTCGACACCTCGCAACGACTGTTATTACCTGCTGCTACACTTTACTGAAATTAACTATTTTCTTCGCCAGGAAATTCATAACTCTCAATGACGGCTACAGCAACTGTGAGGAATTATAGGAAATTATCATATCGAATTTGGCGGATGTAGATCTTCAATAAAAAAGCATGAAGTGCAACTTTCGAAGAGTCAATTAGCAGCATGGTATGTTATGAGAGCGAGAAAAATTTGCTAACAGAAATCCCTCAATTATGACCATTCGATCTATGTAGTAGCTCTCCCAACTTCGACTACATTGGTTGACTGGTTGAGCCCAGTCAGCCCACGAAGTAAATTCGTATATATAGGACACACGCGTCTGACATTTGACCAGGGTCCAAACAAATTCGTGCATTTGGGTGAAACCTATTCTTCCTCCGCAAATATTATGTCATTCATGATGCTACAATATGTAACAATATGGTAGATCAGATTGTCCTTCCTCATCATCAGAAAATGACGCTGCAGCATACAACATACAGAAATACTATATCATCGGTTTCTTTGAGACTATCATATCATGATCTTAAGAAATATTTTACTTCAAAATTTCTTGGCCTCAATCAGAGTGAAATAATATTATGTTCCGTTTGAGGGTGTTACCCTAAGTAGTATTTTGCACCCTTTCAGTTTTTACAAATCGATCATTTACTGTTGCATTCATAGATTATTCCAACCTTGCTCCAGTTTGTTTGACATTATCTGTCGTTAATAAAATATGATCATGGTCATCATGAATCACGGTGTTTCAAAACGGTAAACACAAATTAGAGACAAACAATTTGAAATTTCAATATGTATACGGAATGTTTGGTATCGGTAAAGGTATCATGAGTATTCTTCTCATAGTTGTGGACCAAGTATATAATAGACGATTACCATAAACCTTAATGAAGCACCTGAACCTTCTTACGAAACTCAATCTGCCTTACCTATATAGAATCAAAAACTACTTTTTTTGTATTCATCGAAATATACAGAGATCTATATCTAATTCGTGATATGTTGATTATAATCCTAAATTTCCTATTGTCATTTCTCTACCTCGACTCAAGAATGACTGATACTCGATTTCAATGTCTGATACAAATAGACAACAAAAATGTGATCCATCATTGGACTTCTCTCATAAACCAGAATGTCACAACACATAACCATTTGAATCAGACCACATAAAAGTGTTTATTACAAATGAATTGGTTTCGAATGAAACTGTTCGACTTATGAGGCAAAACCAGATGCATAAAACACATTCCTGCAATGTCTTCAATCGACAATAAAATTGTTACCTATTTCTGATGTCCATACCCACAGTGTAATTGTATACTCGCGCGTAGACTACCAGATTATTTTAATGGTACGCCTACCTTGTTGGTGAAAATCCTCGTCATTCTATTATCGAGTCAAGCCACTCTTGAAAATAATACGATTTTGAATGTAATTTCTTATTTATTGTTATCTAGATATCACTGATGAAAACTGTTGTTCACAGGTCAATTTGATTAGAGTACAGATGACACTTTATAATAATATATGAGCCTTTAGATAGATAGGTACATATTCAAAACGTAGGTAGGTACCCAATTTTTCCTCCTTATTATCCCTTCGTCATATTCAACTCACTAATATAGTGAGTGTTTTCTAGGATCGTTGTGGTCAGATATTTGCCAAGAAACTGGAACCTGAATCCTAGAATATTAATCATTCAGTGACAGATGTTCTTCTATTCACATTTCACTCAATGTTTCGCTCAATGTATAGTCCGACCTGAACTTATACTAAAGTTGAACAACCGTTTGGAGACTTATTTTGAAGAATTCATGAATGTTTGCGAATGGGTTTTTGTCAGAAGTCAGGCATTCTCTTTGCAGGAAATTACAGGCTCTGCCCTGATGAAAGTGTTTCATTACCTCCTCAAGTAAGTAAGGTAAGGCTTTAGTTCATTACTGTTCACGCCAGAATAGCTACAGAAGCCGACCTGAGAAAAATGTATAAATTTCCTGTATGAGGAGAGTCTTCACACTTAAGAATAATTCACCTTATTCTGTGGTAATGCTTCAGATATCCATACCAAGTCAATGAAAAAAAATGTTCTTCGCCTTTCGAAAAAAATTTCTCCTGATGATTCTCTTGTTATTCAGACTGTGTTCTTCATTTTTGGTAATATTCTGAATATCACTAGGACACACAAGACATTTTTTTCATACAATAAATGGATCCAATAAAATGGAAAGGAATCGTCGATGTACCACTTAAAATACGTAGTGGCCACAGAATGATTCTTGCGGAGCTCTCAAATTGATGACAAGAGGCAATTTTTACTTACCAGTCTTCTTTTTGGTTTGATGAGCGGCCTGTTCTGCCCGTTCATCTTATAGTACAGTCCGCAGGCGTTGCAAAGATAATGTCCTGTGCCATCTCGTCTCCATAAAGGCGTGCTAGTCGCCCCGCAATTGACGCACTCTCGGCCTTCTACATTGGTAACAAAAACAAACATATGTCAGTAGTTGCTTGCTAAACTAAATCGGGATTCGATTGATGAGCTACCCTCTACAAAAACATCAAACATGCAGTGATTAGCGTGCTATAGTTAACGCTGAATCAATTTGTCATCAAGGTGGACAGGAATGAAAGCAACGTAGTATCAAATATTCATCGAGTGGTAACATATGTTGGAAAATAAGGTGTATTAGTGGTAGTTGTATGCATTACGGTAACGACATCATTAATAGAATTATCTAGGTTCCAATTTCGAAAATCGATTGTTTGATGCAAGTAGTACTTTTAAATTTGTCTCCATACGTCTGATATCGAGTCTAGTATACAGGGTGTTTCAAAAGAACCTAACCCATTTGCTAGGGTAGGTAGAACATTGCAAAATAAGTTGGGTTTGCTCAATGAAAAAATGTCGTAACTGCATCCGTTTTCGAGATACAAGGTGTTGAAAAAATATTTTATTTACACATTTTTCACGATTATATCGGAACATTGTGATTAAATTTTGTATGGATATGTTCTGAAAGCTGACACACCGCATGAATTTGTTTTTATATTTGACCGAGTATTTGACACTCTTCTTGTTCTTCTTCTCTGCACAGGTGGGCGGGTGCGAAGACCCCTGCACTCAGGCATCTTCAGTCGGGCCCATTGTGCGCCCACTTTTCCTGTGAATCAGCTGGGCATGCCGATTTCTTTGACGAAATTCAGCAGCTTCCTCAGCTGAGTTGCTTTCACATCCTTTGGGTGCAGTACAATGCTCCCAAAGGCAGCTTTCCTCTGATGCACCAGCGCAGGGCATTCAGTGAGTATGTGTGATGATGTTTCATCATCCTCAAAGCACCATCTGCAGATGGGATCATCTTTGATCCCTATGAGTTCTAGGTGCCTGTTGAGGTGGTTGTGCCCAGTTAAGAGCCCAACTACCATCTTGAGATCCCTTCTATTAAGTGACAGGATCTCTCTCGTGAGCGTCTTTGGAGATTTCTTTATAAGGAGCATTGATTGTATAATTCCTGGTGTGTCCCGCCATGTTTCAAGGAACTGCCTCTGTATAGCATTTCCTTCATGAAGGACATAGCCGTACTATTGGGTATTCCCAATATCGGTTCTGGTCCAATGGGTGTCGATTCCTGAACCGATCTTGGCTAGTCTGTCTGCCTCCTCGTTCCCCGGGATACCAGAGTGTCCTGGAACCCACATGAGGCTGACTTCCCTAGTTCTTGCCATATTTTCTAAGGCACTTCTACTATCGGATACCATAGAGGGCGCTAGTTACACGGTTCGTACCGAGTACTTCTGAACATAACTTTCTTGAGGACAGATTTTTCAGTCCAAATTCAATGTGAACTTGAACACCATTCAATTTTACACCAAAATGATGCTCTTGGTAAAACTCGATACTGTGTACCGTTTTCGAAATATTTCGATTTGCAAATGCTGATGGAGTAACTCTGATGCTGGTATTAGAATAAGTATTATAGAAAACCATTATCTATTTATCAAGGACAAAAAACATTCACGTCATTTCACTGCTGAAGTTATCGATTAATCAAAATCACATCAGGAAATATTTGATTAAATTTGACTCAAAACATCATCTAGTTAGAGTAAGTGTCCAGAATGTCCTCCGTTTTCACAAATACACAATTTGGAATTTGATCCTTTTATCTACAGAATGCATTAATCTTATCAACGGTTGAGGATCAGCTATGAGATCATCGGAGTAATTTTCAATGCTTTCTTGCAGCTCTTGACGTGGTTATCAATAAATAGGTAACTTTCAACTAGCATCAGGGTTAGACTTCAGCATTTTCAAATCGAAATATCACGAAAACGGTACACAGTATCAAGTTTTACCAAGAGCACCTTTTCAGTGAAAAATTGAATGATGTTCAAGTTCACAATTTAATTTTGAGTGAAAAATCTAACCTCAAATAAGTTGAAAGTACTCGGTAGGAACCGTGTAACTAGCGCCCTCTATGAGTGCCAGATATAAGAATAAATTCATGCAATGTGTCAGCTTTCAAAACAGCTCCAAACAAAATTTCATCACAGTATTGCCAGTAGTTTCAACATAATCGTAAAAAATGTGTAAAAAAAATATGTTTTCAACATCTTGTATCTTGAAGACGGATGGCGTTACGACATTTTTTTACTGAGCAAACCCAACCTATTTTGCAATGTTCTACCTACCCTAGCAAGGGTTTTTATTTTCCGAAACAGCCTGTTTAATAAGTTGTTGGAAATCTACTTCTGTTCAGTGCATTTTTCAGGCGAGCATAATAATTATATGTAATAGGTCATGTTTCAAATTTTGAGAAGAGTGAGAGGCTACCTATTCATTTTTAGGTTAAAAAAAATATCTGTCTCTAATTGATCGCTGATGTACCTATTCTTCAGTTTTGATAATCTTCAAAGAGTTAAAGCATTCCAATTCCTTTTCGAGGTGTCGAAAATATGAGGACACGGTTCATTCTCAAATCACCATCAATATGAAATCAAGAGAGTGTATATTAACATTCACTTGACTTTTAAGGAAATGAATGAAAATAGCTAAAATATCGATACTGATGAGCGTCAACATATTTACATATTACATCATTAGAAAATTCAAAGAATGACATAATAGACTACACCTGAAGGCTTTGTAATTTAGGTGTACTTCGTGTTAATGTTAATTTCCAATTGCTTGTATTCCTGTCCCCTTATCGAGTAAACAAAAACCTCGTTTCCTGCTCTACCTCTCAATCACTTTGTCAGAATGAATTCAAATACTAGAACTGACAATCGTGTGTGGTCCTGCGTATTAACGCCCGTTAATACCAATTACTTTTATTAATGGTGCCTTAATTATGCTGAATTATGCTGAATCGCTTCGGAATAAAGTGAAATGTGACGTTAATCCGTGCTATAGACCAGGCCTACTCGATTGTCGTTCCAACGAAAAAGCAGAATCATGCAGTTGAGAAAGAAAAGAGAAGAGAAAAAGTATCCAATTTGACATGCATGTAACATTCACCATTGGGTGCTCCGTTTGTCCGCGGTATTCAGGAGAAACTCGAACAATGAATTGACATTTCGAAAGTCACATGGAGAGATAATTTTTCATTATAACCTGCCCTAGATCTTATCAATTCCGATATTATATTGAGTTCTGATATTGTCTATACTTGAGAGCATTGAGAATAATGTTATCCTAACAGTTTTTTCAGACGATATATATACAGTGTGTCCTACTTCGACTGTAACCACCCTCGTTTTTCGAAGTAGGATAAACAATCCATTTTTTTTATGTTAGCCTCTGAAAGATCCATCAGATGATCTTAAAATTGAGTTTGATCGCGAGTTATTTGATTCATCATTTCATGGCCTGTGATCAGAATCAGGAAACTATATAAAAGGCATTATTTTGATTTTGATAGTAAATATTCGACTTGCTCAAATACCCATCTCTTCAGAGTTCATGAATAACAATATCATGTACAGGGTGGATAAAATCAGATACTTTCAATAGAACAATGAAACAATTCTTAACTAGACAGAAGAAAATCAATGTAAGTATTGTCGGTGCCAGGGGGTGAATATTTATATGACAAGATCAATTATGAACACCGCACATCGATATGTCTTCTTGTTCCAGGATTACAAGTATTTTTCAAAAATGTTTTTTCCTGAAAAGTGGCTAAAATCCAATTCTTATGAAAAAATGTTATCATCAATCCTCAGGCACTGGTCTGATATATCTAGTTCGAAAAGAGGAATTCTCCCGAACTACATATTGAAAGGATAATTCCAGTGCCTGAGTCTCAATTTTGATGATGACAAACTGAATGCTTTGGGGATATTGAAGTTTTTGACAAAAGAAATTATTCTAGAAAATCCACTGATATCAGTTAAGTATTTTCTCTCTAGCTAGCACTTTCCTCCCTCTCCCTTCTTCTTATGGATATATACTTGAGATATGGAAAGATATAATATGCAATCGATTTTCGAAATAAAATATTGCCTAATATCCTTAGTTTCCTGATTTTTGTGATTTTACTCAGATCACAAGAGGTCATGGAATGATAAATCAAAACCCAATCTTCCTTTTTGAGTAAAACATTTTGAAGAATGAAATATATTTGAGTCGTTTATTCTACTCAAAATTTGATTTCAAAATATAGGGTATCGTATAACGTATATTCGTTATTTTGACGTAACTTAGACGTGGAATGTGTCGTTTCACTGTACTCTGTATGGGATAAGTGCATTACTTTGCGGATCATCCGCCATTTCCTAAACTTTCAATGAAGATGAGCATTCGTCAAATATTAGAAATGAAATTGAAGAGTTGAACTTCTCACCACAAAATGTCTTCATCGAAATATTATAGAAATTAAAATACTCTTTTGCTCTTTTATTAGGTGAATATGTTCCAGATACAGATGTTTACTGAGTTACTGAAAAAAGAGTTTTTTTCTTAATCCATTCATTTGAGGTTAACGAATAATATTATATTCAAGGACTAGGTGAAAAGTGTAACAAAACCATTCGTATGCCTAATCCGATGATCACAACTATTCAGATTTATGTTGAAATTCTTCACATTCGTTACTCTTATCCCTCGAACATAAGTTATCTGTAAACTTCCGCTTCCCCAAGCAGATTAACTGGCTAAATTCGAACACAATCTATCGATTTGAACGGTTGCCACCCTAACCGCAACTAAATAACCAAAACCGATCAATTTCACAGAACATTGGTCTAGTTTATAAGCATATTTGAACAGCATACTTCGCCAGTTTCATTAATTCCGGGGTACTTTTTCCGTTTGGAGACTATTATATTCGACAAATGGAACAAAAATGCATCAAGGAAGCACTTAACAATATAAAGGTAGACACTTTACCTCAAAATCTGCAAATCTCATATGCAATTTGGGTTTAGTTTATTTTTCTGTGCAAGTTGAAAAGAACCGTAAGCGGATTAAGGGGACAATGTCGGGTAGGAATTTCAAAATTGTTACTTAACTATTGGAGCACCTGGCAGAACCAATTTCGAGCTATTTGAAGAGCTAGTGGAGTGCATCGAAAGCAATTTTTCGACAATATATTCATGCAAGGATAATCTGGGCAATCCTTGAACAAATATGTATCGGATTCACGAAAATAATTGGGTTTCACGTTTTACAAAGAAATGGGATTATGGTAGAGTGACGATGATGTGAAAAAATAGGATATTTTTTGGTTCGATCTGAACCAATCAATCAATCAAATTTTGATTCTTTCAATGAAAAAATACGGGCTGATTCGAAATATAGGAAATACTTATATTTATGTATGTTCTCATTTTGAATAGTTTTTATAGCTTTTAACAGTTGGGCCAAGGAGTCTTCCGATGTTGGGTTGGCTCTTCAGGGAGAATCTAAAAATACAATGAAAAATAGGGTGTTCCATTTAAAGAAATCAAATAGTAGGTAGGAAAAAAACTCCATATGATATTTGAAATTTTGCAATCGGTTCAAAAATAACTGAGCTAGAAGGGGTGGACATTTATGGCGAATCACTCTGTACTGTTGAATCAACAATATTAACGAATAATGAAGTGAGGTACTGAGGAAGAGAAACTTTATGATATTCCCACCTATGAGATGTTAATTGATAATCAAATTATTGATCGACGCTAGTGAAATCAATGTATTTAGTGGTGTTACATGTTCGTACCTTGATACGAGTGAGTTCTTCAATATGCAGTTCGAAAAGCACTTTAGAAATTCACGACTTCATCAAAGTATGCGGGTACAATACACAAACAATAAAGCATCGCCTAGAATATTGCTAATTAAAAGAATCCGGGGGTGCCGTGATAGACTTCCCATTCCCACGCGAACAAAAGAAGTCCGTCCTCATTATGTAGTCACTTTTGGTTTCTTTCGTTCGCAGTTTTTTTAATTAGCTACAATAGCTTTGCTCCACGTACCTACTTATTCGAGAAAATGGTGGTTCACGCAAGCGTACATCGCCGGCTCGTAGTCGTCTATATCGCAATCGGAAAATAGCGAATTCATTGTTGATAATTTGATTCAATATAGATATTGTATTGACGTCACAATTTATCCCGATTCAAAATATGTTTATTCACCTATTCCACGTAACTCAGTTATCTTTTATCAGCTATCAGTCTCTTGATTTCAAAAGGATTGTTTTTTTTTCATATTTTTTTGAATGAAAACGAGTACAGGTACTTACATATTATTCGTGCAACACGAAGAAAACTGTGAGTATGACAGCAGAATGACACGTGGCTCCACATAAACACGTGAGCGTGAGTTTGCACGCCAAAAAACAAAACAGTATTAGTGTTCAAATAAGCTTGCCTTCAAAAATCTTGCAACGCGAAAAACCCCATTAAATCAATAAGAAATCATAAGTAAACAAATAGAATGTAAGTAGAACCAAACATACAGAATATGTTAGTGTAAAAATCGAGATATTCACTAATTCATAGATAAACTCCCGATCAATCATATATGAGTGATATATTCATGGATACTTTTATCGTGACCTTGATACTTTGAAATATTATCATTACCTAATATATTCAATTCATAAAATCCTTTTGACTCAGCCGATGCTAATTGATAAATCGAATTACAAAAGATCACATTATGATTGATAAATTATGGCTATTGAATTAACGAAGATTGATAACCAATACAATGTTATCGTTCACAAAAAAAAATCACACGCATACTTGCGTTATAACAGTGATTATTCAATTAAGTTGTTAAGCTATCATTCCAAATACTCGATCAATGAATTAAGTATTCATTTTACACTGACTGCATGTTAAAAAGTCATAATGGGAAATAATGTTAAAGAAAATAAGAAAAGCAAATCAAAGCACCATCATATAACTAAATAAACTTGGTATAATAAAATAAAGAGATAAAGAAAACAAAAAATCGATTGTGATTCTGCATATCTGCAACTGCAATATCAGTCGTCAATACGTTTAGTACGAAAAGAATGTCAACATACATTAATAATATAAAACGTGTACCTCCTCTTCGTGTACTGACATTAGGGAAACGTTCCAAATGTATTTATTTAATCAAAGCAAGTGATTACACAGTGAGGGTTTACTGAAACTGGCCATCAGGCTGATGGAAGGAATCCAGAATTATTGTGTTATCACTCTCTAATACGATGTAAAACTAAGAGATTACGAACAAAAAGTCACAGAGGAAAAAATGAGCTTATTATGAATTATCAAAACTTCGATCATTACTTATTATAATCTAGATGGAATGAAAGCTCCATGTTGACATTCTTTATCGGAGTTAGTGGCGTCAGGTTGTTATCAGATCATCCTCTTAGATTGTATCAAATGTGACACTGTCTTCAAGGGGATAATGCAATATCAGATTACCATCGAAAGAGAAGAATTATTTTTTTAGATGACTAGTCAGAGAGTAATGATCACTGTTGTTATTCTCTTCCTCTTAAGGAACAGAAGGATTGAAGAAAAACATATTTTGCTGTGCAAATAGGGCATTTTGTACAAGAGTTGGAAAGTGATGATCAGTCATTCTACTAAAAAGAACTTACAGAAATCATAGCTGAAATTATTGTCTTCTCTCTTCTCAAACAATTAACTGGTTATCGTTCAATTCAGTTTATACATGTTATCAAGAATCTCGATGATCTGTTGTCAAAATGAATGAATGCGAATAAAGCTGAGATTATAAATTATCATCGGAGAATCGTTTGATGTATATTTTACTCGATATTTTTGGATCAAATATAATATACTATACCTGTACCTGGTATAAAAATTTTAATGATTTATCTATAAATTCGTTATTATTCTAAAATAAGGAGATCCATATACCTAGGTATTCTTTCGAAAATTTGTCATCCCAGATATAATAAGAACCTATGTCGGAACCTATACTATGTATAATACATCTGTTACGAAATAAAAATGATTTCAATTATTTTCTTCGAAAATCATCGTATCAAAGTTTGATTTGGTGTTAGGTTATACTTGGTGGTTCTCCACATTTCAGCCCAATCTCCGTTACATCAATACAGGGTGTTGAAAAAATACAGTTATTTCGTTTACTTGCAGAAGTGACTGTAATTGATTGTTTCAAACAGAGAAATCTGTATATATTTGAATATTTGAAAGCTCCTGAAATGTTGTTCCTTCCTATATACATTATACCTAACCTAAATAGTAAAATTTCGTAAGTAAGGTCTCTTAACAATATTATAATTTTCCTTGCTTCAGAAGTTGCAAATTGAAAATATTTCAGTTGGGTAGATAATGTCTTTTTTTTATCGCTTGGAGTGATTCGTTCATTGGTTCACCAGAAACGTCTATAATGTACCATCAACCGTGAATCAGCCTGTATATGAGGTATTCTAAATATTTGAGAAAATATGGTTTCGTTTTTCCTAAGAAATGCATTTAAATTTCGATTCTTTCATTTCGTTAGAAAACCGACGAAAAACGTTATTTTTCGGAAAGTACGCAAATTTGGTCAATTTCAAACTGGCTCTATCTCCGCACTCCTAAGTCCTAAGTTCATGAGCAATAACAATTATATTTGGGAAATTTTATCTTCTTCAACTTTCTATAGGACGGTCTTTCCGATATAACGTATAATTTCCGAGTTACGGGCATAAAACCGAAAAAAGTCCGAAAATTTTGCTGTTATTTGCAAATATCTCGGACCGCTCCAGGAAATTTTGTTTGCAAAATTCAGGTTCGAATTCAGCACCTCCATGGAACCACAGAGATACCGACAGCTTGAATTTTTTTCAAGTGAAAATACCATTTGATTGGACTATATAGCATTTTTAGATGAATGACTTGATAGGGATCGTATACTCTCTGACGAACACCTCAGCGCAACCACCACCACCGAGACGGAGACCAACCCGAGCCCCTCCTTACCGGCGCTGGTTCTCGACTTGTTTCTCGGCTTATTGGGCGACTGGCCGCCCTGCCCGCCAGCGCCACCTAGATGCTGCTTGTTCTGGGGCGAGTACGCCCCGTGAATACCGTGGGCATACGCAGACCCGTACGTGCCGTCAAAGTTACCATTGAACATGCCCGACGTGCCGCCCTCATATTCACTACCTTCGCGCTGCTTGCCCGAGCCGGAGCCGATGTTGCCCGAGCCAGAGCCCACTCCGCTCGGCTTCACGTCGAGCGCGCAGCTCTGCGGGTTCTCGTGCATGAAGGCGCCCATCGCGGCCGCCACCGCGCTCTGGTACTCGGCAGAGGGCGCCACGGAGTCGGGCGTGCTGTCCTTGGGCGGCGTGGGCGGGAAGGAGAAGATGTTGTGCGCCTGCGCGGGCGCCGAGCTGGGCGACTGCGACTTGTCGGGGTCGCCGGGGCCGAAGGGAACCCAAGGGCCAGAGTGGGCCAGGGGTTTGGCGCCGTCGGAAAGCCAGGGATGGAGGGGGGCGTGGAAGTGCGGCCTGCAGACCTGGCTTGACATCCGCGAGGCTGTAACAGAAGAAAACCTCATTGTTGACTTGGGTTGTATGCCGAGTGACAGAGGAGAAACGTAACAGCCTATAGTTTTTTTATTTGATGAGATAAAAATTTGAAATTCACAAGGGTCATATAATCGATGATGGCGCTTTCCTTTAATCCAAATAGCACCCTGTACATTTCTGTAGTCTAGCTTATGCACCTTAAAATTCTCTATTCGACTATGTATCACAATTTGATATTCGTCCATTAATTGGCTGTTGAATTGCATTTTATTGAAATACATGAAGTTGGCCCAATACAATGACATTTCGATGCTTGATAGGTTTAGAAATCCAAAGATCATCCTTTAGACGATATTATCAGAATATTTTCCATACCATAATCGGTCCCAGAAGATTGCCAATAATTTAATTGAGTTTAAAAGAATCATCCGAAAATAACTCAGGATATTAGGACGATACATCAATTATTACAACAATTTCAGTTTCAGGTATCCAAAAGGATGATCATATTGCTACATGGCTTCAAAAATTGAAGATAGTTTCTTCACAAGTTGCCAAATCAGAAAAAAACGAGTTTCTATCTTAGTTTTCACAATATCATTTTCGGATGTTTTTTTTTTAACTCAATGAAATTATTGGGGACCGATTAGGGTATGAAAAATATTCTGATGATATAGTCTAAGTAATGATCTATGAATTTCTAAGCCTATAAAGCATAAAAATTTCATTGCATTCGGGCCACAGCCAACATCATCAGGTATTTTAATAAAATGCAATTTGACAGCCACTTAAAGAACCAATATCACATTCTGATACATAGTTGAATAAAAAATTGCAAAGAGAATAAGATAGGCTATACAGAAATATAAGGGTGTCATTTGAAAAAAAAAGTTGGGTCTACTTCCAATCAAACAGGTGGTTGAAGAAAATTGTCATTGGGTTCAATGGGAGCGCCATCATCAATAATATAACCCTTGTGAATTTCAAATTTGTATCTCTTCAAATAAAAAAACTAGTTACATATCTTCTGTGTCTCCCGGTAAATTTGTCAGTTGGGAATTTGCTAGGAAGAAGGAAGTTCAGTTCTCTGATGGGTCGAGAGATACAACAGTTAGTTACGTTACGACATAGATTGAGTTAAAATATTTGTCTTCGAAAATGGAGAGTATAAGAAAATAGTGTGTTCTAAGAGACAATTTTTTTTTAAATGTTTAGAAAATGTGTCCACGATCTTACAATCTTTATCTTTCAACTATTGAATGTCCATTAACATTGCAAAAGTTATCGATACTTCTAATGCTTCTAATCTCGACGAAAGCAAGCGCTTGAGTTCGGCTGTTATCCTCTAATCAATGATTCACAAAAATTCTAGAGAAACTTCAAAATCCAATCTTTCAATTTTTTTCTTATTACAAGAATGCGAGCAAAAAAGTTCTTCAACATCATTTTGTTTTTCGTCTTTCATTGCCCACTACGGTTTCGAAAACACCACCCAGCAAACACAGGATATCATGGACATCCATAATATGATGTCGATGGATATCCGTTCGATGGCATTCACTGGACATTCAGTTTTCGTCCACACAGGACGTGGAGATTTAATTGAATGATGGACGGCCATTGGACTCTGCTTGTACAAAAAGAAAAAACAAATTTGGAGGCATCAGAAAAAGTTTCGGAGCGGTATACCTATTTTATTGGCGGAGGCACTATGGAATATGCTTTCTCAAATTCAAATATAACGTCTATTCGAAGTAGTGAATACGACTCAGCATTCAGTGGTTTCATAAAAACAAATATCTAATTGACTTTTTTCCTAGTGATTGAAAAAATACTGTGGAGGTATTGACCGATATATGTACACTTCAATTCCAATAAATGTAATTCTGTGTGGATGTCCCTCTCGACATAACAGGAGTATAATTCACAAATGCTCTCGCAAATGCTTGAGCATGCAGCTCGACTCCCATCATAGAGTATACCTCAATGAATAAGTCCAGCTGGAAGCCTTGATGGAAATTCACTTTTTCCAACCATAGAAGCTACTGTTAGGAGAGTACTATTTATGGAGCTTAGTTGTCATTACCAACAGCGTTTCTAACTCTGTAGTAGCTTTCGCCTGGTCTAGTAGATTTGTATATATTGAATATTGATTTCAAGATATAGAAACACACCATATAAGTCTTGCAGAAAGAAATAACATAGAGGAAATTTCTTCTGGAGGTGTATATCAGTCTGAGAATTATAGAATAATAAACATCAATGAGAAAGTATACATCCATGTTGCATGATGCATGGTATTTTGAAAATGGTAAATCGTAGACTCGGTTGTAGATCTCGTAGTATACCGAAAATTACACACTCGAAGATTTGTTTAAGGTACAGGGAAACCAAATGGAAAACGACATTAGGTCATCATTCTATTATTGAAGATGTCAATTATCATTATTTAGAACGTATAGTTCTTCGTCCCATCAGAATATTGCATTTATTTATATTTAGAAACAACGCTGCGCTTTAAATCTTCAAGCTTTTTAAATCTGTTATTCTCGGTGTTGCTATATTATGACAGATGCAGGAGTGTGACAATGCGTTAGCTAGATGATTCAGTCACGGTTGAATACTTTCACAAACCGTCAAACCGAAGTAGGTACATATCAAAAACGTAATAATAATATACATCCACATAAACCAAAGGAAGTCTATTGTCAGAATAGTGAGAAGCAATATCTATTCCTCGTCTATATTTCAGAATATTGATCGCTCTTGTGCGTGTGTCTTCCGGAAGAACATTTCATCATAATTGGCTACAGTGAGACAATCGATAGTATTCACATGACATCAATCCATGTTCCTATGCCCTCATAAGCAGAAACCTGTTTTCCTCTCTGTTCGACATCCTTCAACCAAAACGAAATTAACTCATCGGCATTCGACCAGGAGTAAACAGAGTCCTCTCGAACTCTCCAGTGCCATACAAAGCACGCATAAGTACGTGAAACAATCGATAATAGTAGGACAACCCCGATTTTTCCTCGTCTCTTTGTCCTTTTCAGCTCATGAATTACTTTCACACGCACACCAAACCCATTCCACATTCAAACAGAACGTCGCTGCTTGTACCCTTCTGGTGGCCATCTGCGGAAGTCCGTTAGAATCCCCGCTAATCTCGACGCTATCTGCGATGGGATCGCCAGATAATCCGGATAGCGGCAGCCATTGCGGCCGGCATTCAATATGGCCGACGCCAGGTGAGGGGTTAAGCCACCCCACGATGAACGCAGTGCTCCCTGCATGCGTCAAGTTGGCAGCATTGGCAAATGGGAAGAGGGAAAGCGAAAACGCAGATGCGAACTCGGGAAAATAAGGATTCCCGCTGGGAGCGATATCATGCGGGTAGGAAGATTGGCACTCTTCGTTGATTGGGTGTAGGCCTCATGAAATCTGGGTTCGATCCCGGCTATTGTTCCATCATTACAGGTTGTACATAATGGGGAATCCTACGAAGGCGCTGAAGGGCCACCTATACTTTTTCCCGACTTTAAAGTCGGGGGTCCAACTTTATTCTCAGGATCCCGACTTAAAAGTCGGGGGTCCGACTTTAATCTCGGGATCCCGACTTTAAAGTCGGGGGTCCGACTTTATTCTCGGGATCCCGACTTTAATCTCGGGATCCCGACTTCTATCTCGGACCCCCGACTTTAATCTCGGGATCTCGACTTCAAAGTCGGCAGTCTGTTTGTACACCAGAATTATACCGCACTTCACTCAAAGAATTCCAAGAAGCTCCAAGGAATTCCATCAGGAAAATCCCAGGAAATCCAAGGAATTACAAGAGATTACAAGGAATTCCAAGAAATTTCAAGGAATTCTAAGGAATTCCAAGGAAATCCAAGGAATTCCAGTTGTTTGTATAGCCCAGGAATACCTATACCGCATTTCACCCATCAAGGAATTCCAGATAATTTTAAGGAAATCCAAGGAATTCCAAGGAATTCCAGTTGTTTGTATAGCCCAGGAATACCTATACCGCATTTCACCCATCAAGGAATTCCAGATAATTTTAAGGAAATCCAAGGAATTCCAGTTGTTTGTACACCAGAATTCCACCGCGGTTCACCCCTTGACCCCTGCTTAGGAAATCGTGACGTCAGTTTTGATTTGCCACATATTTCTATAGACGTTTGAAAATTACCGTGGTAATATTGACGATTTTAGCACCTTCAAATCGACCATAAAAATTTACAAAAATATAGAATTGAAAGGTGATTGAGTAATTATTGTATTGACCCCGATTATTGACGACGCGCTTTGTTTGTAACTCGGTTTGTAATGTATAACAATATATATGGAAATGGAAATAATTCCAAATTTCTAATAAGTGGAACTACTTTATGCATATTGACGTATATTCGAAATTATACAGGGAAGCTTCACTCAATTGGGAGTGTTTGTTAGTTTAAAATCATAAAAAGAAAATAATCATCAGAAGAAGTTCTATCGATGGTACTGAAAATATATACTTACCCCCTGTACGTGAATCAACATGTTATGTGATTATTTTTATGCATAATAATCCCATTAGTTAGTGTACTTACAAAATATTCTACCGATATCTATCAACAATATAAAAATATTCAAGATTTTCGTTAGGTGAATTTCAATGCCCTTTATCTCGATTCCTGGATTTCCAGTAATCGAAACTTCATCACCCTATTTAAAAATAGGGCTCTTCAATTCAGTAGAGAAAATGACGGAGAGGCACAATGAAGATTTCAATAAATAGAGTACAAATGAAAAGGGGTTGGGGAACACATGATGATGATGGGCTGCATGAACCATTGATCCATTCACTTGGGGTGAATATATTGGCCTCCAATATTTCAAAATGTTCAACGGTTTATCAGTAACATGATGAAATTCATTTAACGTTCCAACTTCAACATACTCTTGTTTAAAAATATGGAGGAATTGTCTCCTAAGATCCACGAAAAACATGTGTCGTTT